TTAGACGGTTCTGTCTTTCAGTGTGCAAAAACAGGTCTTGTAGAAGAGGGCATTTTATATCGAATCTCCAGCATCAGTTGGGGAAGCAAGGATGGCTCGCAAACCTGTCAGGCTCTGAAGTAGCTGCTATCAGTCAAGCTCTGAGTTGCATACACTTGTTCAGAGGCTTTCATTATGAGTTCAAATGCAGCCAGGGACAGAAAGTAAGCAAAACATGGTCTAGGGCATATTAACCTAGTGCTGAGGAGTTAGGAAAAAAAACTATCACGAAAAGGTAGGCAGGCATATGCTTCAGAGGATCTTTGTAACACTTGGACATACAGAACTTTGGGTGCTAAACTTCAGGATCCAGATGACCTCAAATGGCTTCGGCGCTTAGGCCATTGCCATCAACTACCTATGTGAGGATATGCGGATGAAATGAATAGGTTTTGAGGTGTGTCTCAGGAGTAAGCAGGTTGCAGTTAGCCTGGAATAAGGTGGGGAAGCAAGCAGAGGGTCCTTGTTAGGTATGGGTTCTTCCCAATGGGAAAAAAAATAGGGAAGTATTTGAAGCTGTTCTTCAAGTCCAACATGGAACCATAGGGGAAACTCTGCCAAGCCCAGACACCTAGAATAACTGAGTAGGGGGTATGCAGTACACACTCAAGGCGTGTATCAGGCATGTAAGATGAATCTTGCCAAGCGTAGCAGTTGAATAGCATTCAATGGTAGTCTAAATCTGAGTGTTATGCTAAGAGCCAATGTGTTGGGGCCATTTAAATATAGTTCTCTATGTTCCTTAAGAATCCTTAGTAGGGAAGAAATACATCTTAAGATGTGTCTTATGGGGGCAACAGCTTTAAGAGCAGATGGGACCCAGCGTGCAGTGTTTTATTTTTTTTTTCTTGGATTGGCTGGAGTTGGATGTTCCTAGCTAACTCTTGAGTTGCCCCTACTATATGCCTAGCACATTTGTAAGACCTTTGCATAGAAGATAAGAGATTTAATCGTGAGAGCAAAGTCTGCAGGCAGGAGATATAAAGGTCCGAGAATCAGACAGAGACACAGACCACAGCATCCCATAGCAGATTGTGCATCTGAACGTAAATAACTGATGCTAAATTCAGTGGATCTGCCATCAAATCCTGACATGCCTCAGAACTCAAGAGAAGCTGTGTGTGGGTCCCTGTCTGCTGTGGAGGCCAAAGAATGGGAACATAAAGGACGGGCACTCTTGCTTTGAACAAGTGGGTCAGTGAGTCATACATACCACCCAGTGTCTTCTTAGTGCATCATCTGTGGACGATGTGCCCGGTGCTCTCCTGGACAGTACAACTGCGGGACGAGTGCGGCTGGGTCCGTGTGACCCTTTCAGCCTTGCAGAAGGTATCTCTATCCCAGACAGACCTCCTCCAACCAGTCCAGCAGTGTGCAAAAATGTTGGCCTGCGGCCGGCTTTCTTAGAACACATCATCTCTCTTTCTTGGTAGCTTTCCATGTCTGTTTCCTCTCTTTCCTTCCCTCCATCTCTCTCTCCCTTAGTTTGTCTCCTTCTCCCTGTGTATCCATTTCCCTCTGGCTCTCTGCCCCTCCTTTCCCTGTCTGCTTCTCCCGCTCCCTCTCCATTGTTCTGTGATGGCTAGCTTTAATCGTCAGTGTGACACAGGGGGAATCAGTGAGGCATTGTCTAAATGAC